TTTTTTTTTTTTTTTTTTAGCTCTTGTGGCATCCATAATTGTAGAAATTTTATTATAAAATAAAAATGTTTTGGGAATCCTTTAGGTCTCAAGGTGGCTGGCCAAATTTGGCCCATAAATGTGTTTTATAAGTATATTCTGTGTTTTAAAATAATTTAAATATTTACACCTTTTGAGATTTCCAGTGATAGCCTTCACCACTTTTTATTACTTATATGGTAGATCTTGCTTCACTCATTTATGTTACCTGTCTGGCCAATATAACCCAAAATGTTTATGACTCCTGTTTTAGGATATGTGCTGCTTCAGCTCTTGGTTTTTGGAAGCTTGGGGAATGTGAACACATTAATTAATATGAAACATTTTCATCTTAAGATGACATTACAAGTTCAAAATCCATTGAGAAATATCCCATTATGGCCTGCAGAAGATTGATTCACTTTATGATTTTACCCTCTAGCAGATGATTGACCTGAAATAGTCTGGATCTTTTTCAGGCAATAAAATTGGGGTTAAACCATAAAGAGGACAAATTTGAATTAAAATAAGGACTCTGCTAAAGCCATATCTTTGCTCACTTGCATTCATTCCAGCTCTCAGACTAGGTTTTTGCCTCTCTTTTAGAGGACCATCTGTCCCAGTAGAAGCCTGTAAGTGTTCTTAAATTGCCTGAGTACTATGGGTAACAGTCATTATTGTTATTATGAAGTTTGTGGCATTGTACAGAGAAATGAAGAGAAAGAGTCAAAACCAAAATGTGGCCAAGATGGGAGAGGTATAGATTTATTTTAAATGAGGCTTCAAATCCTTGTGTATAATATATACATATCAGATGTTCTCCATCAGCGATCACCAAAGAATCACTTACTATTATTAAGACTGTTATTATTTACATGTAAAAATTTTATGTTAAAAAATGTTTAGAGTCTTACAACATGTAATCCTATTCCTCATTTTAAGTTGGAGATTGAAGACTGTATAATTGGATAAAACTCAATTTTATATTTAGTAAGCTCTTCTTTGGTAATTAAAAATGGATCCCCATAATGTTATTTTCTGAAGTTAGGTCCACTGAATGATTAGGTCTTTGTCTGTCATGAAACTTGGCATACCTATACCCTTTCTACCCTGTGTTTCAGTGAAACTAATACTAGTGTTCTTTGTTATACATTTATCTCAGTTATTATCTGTTTTCTTCTTTCTCTCTTTTTTTTTTTTGAGATGGAGTCTCACTCTGTTGTCCAGGCTGGAGTGTAGTGGCATGATCTCGGCTCACTGCAGCCTCCGCCTCCTGGGTTCAAGCAATTCTCCTGCCTCAGCCTCCTGAGTAGCTGGGATTACAGGAGCATGCCATGACGCCCGGCTAATTTTTGTATTTTCAGTAGAGACAGGGTTTCACTATTTTGATCAGGCTGGTCTCAAACTCCTGACCTTGTGGTCTGCCCTCCTTGGCCTCCCAAAGTGCTGGGATTACAGGTGTGAGCCACTGCGCCTGGTCTGTTTTCTTTTTTCTAAATATAAGTTAATCCTTTCCTTTTCAAATACATACTGTTTTTCATAACTTCACAAAACTGTAATACCTCATTGTCTGTTTTTGTAGAGTCATTTTAAAAACAAAAGCAGTATTTCCCCTCTGTGTGTGATGATAATCTTTAAACTTGTGCATATTGCTAAGAGAATAATTCAAGTTCGTAAAAGAGGATTAGAGGGTGTCCTAGGAGGTAGAGCAAATACTGAAGTTACATGTGATTACTTGTAATAACTTCATCTTCTAGTCAGTCATCAGTATGTTAAACTGCACTGATAGGTGTTATACTGTAATATTACTTTAAATATAAAAATGGTAATGTAAAGAAATTTCCAGTTTATAAAAAAAGAAAGGATTACATAACTGTATGCCTGTGTGTAAACTGACATACAAACTTTATTACCAAATTAGTGTGTATTCTACTTTGCGTTGGTCAGTAATGCCATATGACCAGAGTAACGTAAAATAGAATGTTTACCCAATAATCTGAAATTTGGTGACTAAATGTTTACTGGCATAGGAGAACTGGAAAAATAAAAACTTATTAGATGAAGCAAGGAGCTCCTATCACCGTATGTTAAAAAGTATGAGTATCAAGTCACCTGGATTCAGATGTACTAAACTTTTTTTTTCTATAATTCCTTTATGAATTATATCAATCTGTGAAATAAAGATGGCAATACTTTGTACCATAAAGAAATGTGAAAAATTAATACCTTAATTTTTTAATTACAGTATTTTATAGTATTGCAAGTTTAGATAAAATCCTGTTATAGTTAGGATGGCCATATGTCTTGTTTGTCTGGGATTGTCCCCATTTCCACCAGTTGTACAAAAAAATGATTATTAATAGCAGATAGTATCCCAGGTTGGATGATAAATTATCCTTAATTATAATGGATTTCAGGGACTTTGTTAAATGAATATTGTTAGGAAAACCACTTATCAGTATCTAAACCTAGAATAAAATATCACTTGCCCATTACCTTGTATTAGTGGTAAATACTAATAGAAGGTGGCCTATATACCATGTCCATTCCTTCTTTCCTCTAAGGTCCTTAATCTTAATCCTTAAGATTTTCAGCTTCTAACTGAGTTCTCTCCATTTTCTGTCCCCTTTCATGATGTGCCTTGAAGATATAAAACATTCTTACCAAATAAGTGACTGATTTTAATATTATAGCTGTGTATTATCCATCCATTATAGATTATACTGTAACAGATTTTTTAAAAAGCACTGCTTGACCCTGGGAGCCCTAGGGATCATTCATATAATAACTATGTTGTAGAAGTTGAACATTTTCTAATGATGTTCATTGTAATGAAATTTTACTTGATATTCAGTACATATATTTGTCACTTAAAGGTTCTTTCTACAGAAGCTTTGTAAACTGTTTCAGTTACTTCTTTTATTATTCTATTTTTAATTCTTAATATCTTTAAAGAATATTATATTGCTCTTTATAATCAGTCTTTCCCAATTTGCCTTAAAAATGTGTTCCTTATTTTGCTTCAGGAGATCGTTATTTGCAAATGCAAAGATTTTTTACTTAGACTTTTGAAATTACTGTTAGTAACTTTGGTATTGTTTTTAGATATGAAATTGAAGGCTGTGAAGTGATTTGGGCCATTAAAGATAAAGCTATAGGGAATACTTTCTTCGATGCAGGAGCAGCTGAATTCTTGACTTCAAAGCTCATTTCTGAAAAATCAGAGGCTAAAATTGTACATAAAAGAACCAGATATACAACTGAAGGTAAGTGTAGCACCTACCTCATTACTTCTCATATAAACCTTTTTTTTTTTTTTTTTTTTTTTACAGTATAGAAAAGGGCTATAAGAAAATTTAATAAAATAAATTTTGGAGATAGTAATATGGATATTTATGTATCTTTACATGAAGTTTTCAGATTTTCTATTTTATATATATTTATATGTGTGTATTTTATATATAAAATTAAAACAAGAAATTTGAAATGAAATTGAATAACTCAGCACATCTGCATCTTTGCAAACAGTTGCTACATTTGGGCAACACCTAAAGTAGTTTTGTAAAAAATGTAGTGAGTTGAAAAGCTAATACAGACTTCATATTTTTTAAGTTTGATAGCTTAAAAAGCTTTTGGATTATAAAATTAAGCAAGAGTTTTGTTCATTTTGGAGGTGCTAATAATTGACAAAATTATTAAAATTCAAAGGCTAAGTTTCTTATCTTTCAGATTAACTGGTGTAACATCCAAAACATAAGTAGAGTGTGCTTATACTCAACACATAATTGAAAGATTATCTATTTGTAACTCTACATCAGAAAAATATTAAAATAATGACTAAAATGATTAATATAGATTACATAGGTTAGTCATGCTGTAATATATGTATATATGTGAATCATTACATTGCCTAAATAAAAACTTGAACACTAACATAATTCTCTGCCTGGTAATTTTTATATTATTTAATTTCATCTGTTTAGGAAGGAAAAAGGAAGCCAGAAACAAATCTAAAGCAGATAATGTAGGCAGTGCATTGGGACCAGATTGGCATGAAGGCTTGAATCTTAAAGGAACAAAACAGGTATCTCTTCATAATAGTGATTGAACATGTATAAATGTAATTTTAAATTCTTGAACCTTTTATTAAAGACCGGTTATAAATAGGTGGTCAACGAACTGCTAGGTCACTTTACTTAAAATCCATAGTGCTAGGAAAAGACTTCCAATCCACTTGGTCCATTTGGCCACCAAAGAAAACTGAATGTCAAAACATTTAAGACTGGATCTCAGCCTATGTTTTAACTCACGAGGTGTGATATTGTTATACATATACAGTCATCATTGAAGATATTGCAGGTTCAGTCCCTGACCATCACAGGAAATAAAATATCACAATAAAGTGAGCCACACAAATTTTTCAGTTTCCCAGTGTATATAAAAGTTAGGTTTATAACATACTACAGTCTATTAAATGTGCATTAGCATTATGTCTGAAAAAACAATGCATATTTAAAGATATGTTATTGCTAAATATGCTAAAAATCATCTGAGCCTTTAGCAAATCATAATTTTTTTGTTGGTGGGAGGTTTTGCCTCAGTATTGGTGGCTGATGACTGATCACGGTGGTGCTTGCTGAAGGTTTGGGTGACTGTAGCAATTTCTTAAAATAATGACGTTTGGGCTGGGTGCGGTGGCTCACACCTGTAATTCCAGCACTTTGGGAGGCCAAGGCGGGTGGATCACGAGGTCAGGAGTTCAAGGCCAGCCTGGCCAATATGGTGAAACCCTGTCTCTACTAAAAATACAAAAATTAGCTGTGCATGGTGGCACACTGCCTGTACTCCAAGCTACTCAGGAGGCTGAGGCAGTAGAATCGTTTGAACCCAGGAGGCAGAAGTTGCAGTGAGCCAAGATTGCACCACTGCACTCCAGCCTGGGCAACAGAGGGAGACTCCATCTCCATCAGTCAATCAAGCAATCAATCAATAACAATGAAGTTTGCTCCATCAATTGACTCTTCCTCTCAGGAAAGATTTCTCTGTAGCATGAGAAGCTGTTTTGTTAGCATTTTAACCATAGTAGAAGTTCTTTCAAAATTAGTTCTTTCAAACTCTGCTACTGCTTTACCAACTAAGTTTATGTAATATTTTAAATCCTTTATCATTTCAATGATACTCATAGCATCTTCACCAGAAGTAAACTCCATTTCAAATAACTACATTCTTTGCTCATCCATGAGAAACAACTCATCTTTTCAAGTTTTATCATGAGATTACAGCAATATAGTCTCATCTTCAGGATTCACTTCTAACTATAGTTCTTTTGTGATTTCCACCACATCTGCCTTTCTCCATTGAAATCTTGAACCTCTCAAAGTCATCCATGAAGACTGGAATATACTTCTTTCAAACTCTTGTTAATGTTGATATTTTGATCTCTTCCCTTGAATCATGAATGTTCTTAATAACATCTAGAATGGCAAATTCTTTCCAGAAGGTTTTCAGTGTACTTCTCCCAGATCCATCAGCTGTATCACTATTTGTGGCAGCTATAGCCTTATGAAATGCATTTCTTTAGTAAGACTTGAAAGTAAGAATGACTCCTGGATCCATGGGCTGCAGAATGGATATTGTATTAGTAGGCATGAAAACAACACTCATCTCCTTGTGCATCTCTGTCTGAGTTCTTGGGTGACCAAGTGCCTTGTCAATGAGTGTAATATTTTGAAAGGAATATTTTTTTTCTGAGCAGTAGGTCTCAACAGTGGGCTTCAAATATTCAATAAACCATGTAAACAGATGTGCTGTGTATTAGTCAATTTTCACACTACTATGAAGAAACACCTGAGAGTGGGTAACATTTATAAAGAAAAGAGGTTTAATTGGCTCGTGTTTTTTTACAGGCTGTATAGGAAGCATCGCTGGGGCGGCCTCAGTAAACTTTCAGTCACGATGGAAGGGGAAGTACGCACATCTTACATGGCTGGAGCAGTAGGAAGAGAAAGAAGGGGGTTGGTGCCACACATACTTAAACAACCAGATCTCATAAGAACTCTTTCATGAGAACAGCACTAGGAGGATGGTGCTAAACCATTAGAAACTGTCCCCATGACCCAAACATCTCTCACCAGGCCTTACTTCCAACATTGGGGATTACAATTTGACAAGACATTTGGGCTGAGACGCAGACCCAAGTCATATCATGCTGTCATCCAGGCTTTGTTGTTCCATTTATAGAGGACAGGCCGGGTAGATGTAGGTTAGTTCTTAAGGGCCTTAGGACTTTCACAATGGTAAATGTGCATTGGCTTCAACTTCAAGTCACCAATTACATTATCCCTTAACAGGAGAGTCTGCCTGTCCTTTGAAGCCAGGCATTGACTTTTCTCTATAACTATGAAGGTCCCAGATAGCATCTTCCAGTAGAAGGCTGTTTCATGTATACTGAAAATCTGTTTAGTATAGCCACATTCATCAATTATCAATTGTATTTTTTTGTTGTAGAGATGGCTTCTTTCTTTAAACCTCATGAACCAACCTCCACTAGCTTCAGCCTTTTCTTCTGCAGCTTCCTCACTTCTCTCAGCCTTTACAGAATCGAAAACAGTTAGGGGCTTACTCTGGGTTAGGCCTTGGCTTAATGGAATGTTTTGGGTGGTTTGATCTCTCCACACCACTAAAACTTTCTCCATATCAGCAATAATGCTCTTTCACTTTCTAATCATTCATGTGTTCATTGGAATAGCACTTTAAAGTCACTTCAAGAATATATCCTTTGCATTCACGATTTGGTCAACTGGTGCAGGAGGCCTGGCTTTCCATGTGCCTTCCTCAATAAGCCTAGTAATCATTTCTAGCTTTTGATTTAAAGTGAGAGATGTGTGATACTTTCACTTGAACACTTAGAGGCCACTACAGAGTAACTGATTGCACTGCCTTCAATATTATTGTGTCTCTGAGAATAAGGAGGCCCAAGAAGAAGGAGAGACAGGACAACAGCTGGTTGATGAGAGTAGTCAGATCACAGAACATTTATTGATTTAAGTTCACTGTGTTATATGTGTGTGGTTCATGATACCCCAATTCAATTACAATAGTGTAATATTGGGGTTTAGGGGTTCAGGGTGCCCTTAGCTCCCCTGAGAGGACGTCTTTCCAGATTCTTGGTTTTCTGCCCTCTCAAGAATGAGAGAGGGGACCACAGCGCAGTGCACAGTAAACGCCGGACTTAAAAGTGTTTGTAGAAAGTGATTTATTTAGAGAGAGAGAAAAAAAAAAAAACGGAGAAGGAGAGAGAGAAACAGCTAACTCTCACACTGAGTTATAGAATCCAGAAAGATAGAATCCAGGAGAGGAAAGCAGCTTCCACTCTGAGTGGAAGGGAATAGAGAGAGATGGAGTTTAGGAGGGGAAGACAGGCTTTCACAAGAGAGTGTTTGAAGGGGACTTCAGAGGAAAAATTTAGGATAGAGAAGAACAGCTTCCACAAGCACGAGAGTGTTCGTGGACAGGAACCCAAACATGGAGTCCCAAGGGCTGTGGAAGAAGAGGACTTTTAACCTGGGAGGAACCCCCACTTTCTTTAAGACCCCTGGCTAATGAAAGGAGTTTTTTAGAACTTTTGCTGGAGTGATTGACTTTTAGTTTTTTTCCCGTGCTCGTGAAATTTAAACATAAACCGTTAAATCTCCTGGATGGAGAGAGATGGGAGCAGAGCATGGCATAGCACTGGAAAATTTTTGCACTTAAAACTACACCCCCTTATGGACCCTGGAAGAGAACACCTTCCCTTAATAGTATATCTAAGATTACTAATCACAGGTCACTTAAAGGTCTAATAATGATGAAAGCTTTGAAATATTGCAAGAACTATCAAAATGTGACAGAGACACAAAGTGAGCACATGCTATTGGAAAAATGGCACTGAGACTTGCTTGATGTTGGGTTGTCACAAACCTTCAATTTGTAAAAAAACACACTATCTGCAAAACACTATAAAGTGAAGCACAATAAAATATTGTACCTGTATTTGGTCTTTGTCCCAGTTTTCTGGCACACAACTCCTAAAATTTTTGGCATCTCTGAAGTGATGTGTCCTTTTTATGCTAGGGACTAACCCTAGGTAGCTTCCGAATGGGGATTGGTCACAGGAAAGACCAAGGCATGATTAAACTGTTTAGACTTTCCAACCTCCTGGAAGGGAAAGGGGTTGAAGGTTAAGCCAATCACTAGCAGCCAGTGATTTAATCAGTCACCTACATAATGAAGTTTCCATGAAAACCCAAAAGGGTTGGGTTTGGAGAGCTTCCGGATAGTTGAACATGTGGAAGTTGCTAGAGGGTGGTATATCTGGAGAGGGCATAGAAGCTCCATGCCCCTTCTTATATGCTTTGCCCTATGTATTTCTTCATTTTCCTTTGTTACAACCTTGATAATAAACAGTAAATGTAAGTAAGTTTCCCTGAATTCTGTGAGACCGTTCTAATTAAATTAATTGAACCTAAGAAAGGGGCTCATGGGAGCCCCTTGATTTATAGATGGGTTAGTCAGACCAACTGGTAAAACCACCCAGGGCTTACAATTGGAATTGGAAGTGGAGGACAGTCTTCTGGGATTGATCCCTCAACATATGGGACCTGATGCTATCTCCAAGTAGATAATAACATCAGAACTAAATTGAATTAGAGGACACCCAGATGGTGTCCTGTGCAGAACTGATTGCTTGCTTAGTGTGTAGAAAACCCCTACATACACATTTGGTCACAGAAGTATTCTGTGTTGTGAGAGTATAGTAGGAGAAACTGAGTTTGTTTTTTCCTGTATCCTCTGACCAGGGATAGAGATCTCTATACCCAGACTACAGTAAATACACCTGTCCTCTTTTAATCTTTTCTTAAAGGTCACTTTAGATGCATGCAGTAAACTTACAAGTTATTAGATGGATTACAAATATACACTTAATATCCCAATTGGATAAGGAGATGATTTGCTTTTTCTCATTTTGTTAGATATTCTGATTTTTTGATAGTTGTTACAAGGCTGTGAAATCTAAATGTTGTAAGAAGCATGCATGCAGTCCTTCATTACTGTGTGTGATTTCTTTAAAGCACTGGTTTCGACTTTTGGCAGGTGGGAGTGAGGCTGGCTGCATGGTGTATCTAATTTTTGTGATGAAAATTATGCAAAGTCCCTTCTTTCTGTACCTTCAGATCCTAATAGTAATTACATTTTTAAACTGAGAACTTCAACAGTTTAATTCAATAAACATTTATTGAGTATTTACTACCTACCTGGCACTTTATTAATGCTCAGTGATATAAAAATAAGTCGACAGATCTGCCCTGAATAAATTTTTATAGTCCATAACTATTGTAATTTTTTTTTTTGAGCAGAGTCTCCCTCTGTTGCCCAGGCTACAGTGCAGTGATGCGATCTCAGCTCACTGCAACCTCTGCCTCCCTGGATCAAGCAATTCTCCTGCCTCAGCCTCCTGAGTAGCTGGGACTACAGGTACACGCCACCAGGCCCAGCTAATTTTTGTAATTTTATTAGAGATGGGTTTTCACCATATTGGTCAGGCTGGTCTCAAACTCCTGACCTCAGGTGATCCACCCACCTCAGCCTCCCAGAGTCCTGGGATTATAGGTGTGAGTCACTGTGCCCAGCAACCATTGTAATTTTTTTTTTTTTTTTTTTTGAGACGGAGTTTCGCTCTCGTTACCCAGGCTGGAGTGCAATGGCGCGATCTCGGCTCACCGCAACCTCCGCCTCCTGGGTTCAAGCAATTCTCCTGCCTCAGCCTCCCGAGTAGCTGGGACTACAGGCGTGCGCCACCATGCCCAGCTAATTTTTGTATTTTTAGTAGAGACGGGGTTTCACCATGTTGACCAGGATGGTCTCGATCCCTTGACCTCGTGATCCACCCGTCTCAGCCTCCCAAAGTGCTGGGATTACAAGCGTGAGCCACCGTGCCCGGCCTAACCATTGTAATTTTTAAAGAATACACTTGTAATTATCAATGAAGCCTAGGCTAAAAAGCATTCCCTCCGTGCTGTCTGCTAATGCAGCTACCAAATCTTTTAGGTGACTGAATGAATTTCTGTTCACTCTGTTCATGTGCATAGAGAGATTTCTTTTAGGGCACCCAATGTGTTTTCATTTACATTATAAGAATTATGTTTTCTATATGTTTCTACAAATTTTTTCTTCATCATTAGTAACCCAGGTCATTCTTTCTGGAAGTATTATGCTAACCAGTGTTTTTTTAATTTTAGTTTTCTCGTAAGATTCACATTGAAACTATGTGTGAAGTAAAGAAAATCTACTCTCGGGATGAGTTTAGAATTTTGAAGAAAAAGTCTTTCACTTTTCCAGGAGACCATAAGTCAGTTACAACTGATACAGGCAAGTAATGAAATAAGAAAAAAATATATATAACCACTTAATTAAAAGCAAAGCAATTTAATCTTGCTGTTTTGTTTTAAATAACTTCAGATTTCCATATAAAATTTAAACATGAAAAGTAAAAATAAAACCATAATTTAATAGCATTAAGTCACTTATTTTCACTATCTGTTGTTTCAAGTAAATTAAATTGTATAGGACATTATATCTTACATAGAGCTCCTAGTGTTCTGAACAACAATCAGAATAGATTGTACATCAAAATGAAACAAAAACCTAAAGCTCCTAAAGGTGATGTGATTTCACCCAAATCAAGCAGATTGAAAATGTATATTTTTGGGACTAAGATGCAGCTCTCCTAATTCCAATTCCACCACTCCTCTGAGAAGTATCATAATTTGAAGAAATACACTCCGCTAACTAGCATATGAAATATTCTACTGAACCAAATTCTTTGAATTTTTTCCATACGAAAGGGGAGTTTGAGTATGAATAGTGAGGGAAAACACCTAGTTGAACTAAACACTAAGTAGAGTATAAAGTATTACTAAGGACTTTTAGAGATAATTTAGAAACAATTTAAATTTACTTAGTCAAAATTTATGTGTCCAAATTTGAAGGAAAGATATTTAAAATGCCATGGTTTTAAAATTATACCCAAAGGAGATGATGCTAATTGCATTAAAATTGCTTTAGCAAATAGGCCTCATAAAAAACTGTGGAGTGTGTTACAAAGTCATCTCTTGCCTTCCTTTTTCTTTCTTTGTTTCTAGGCATTGTAGTCACATACACTGCTGTGGTGGTGGTTCTATTTAAAAATATTCTTTTTTTCTTTTTTTTCTTTAAGAGATATGGCCTGTGTATGTGGAATTGACCAATGAAAAGATATATGGCTGCGATTTCATTGTCAGTGCTACGGGAGTTACACCAAATGTAGAACCTTTTCTCCATGGTAACAGTGTAAGGTGAAATTTTTGTCCAGCTATGAATATTTTTGAAGTATTTTTGTGAAGATCTCTTGTTCTCAAACATTAGTATTATTTTAGTATACAACTGTAACTTCACATGGTTGAAAACAATTTGGTTATAACATTGTCTTGATTTACAGTATTTTTTACTGTTTAAAATCCTTACATAGTTACATCCTGGTATAAGTGTCATAGTAATGGTTCATAATTTACAACTTATTTATCTAAATGTTGGTAAGAGACTGACACCTCTCATGACTTCTCAAAAGTGATTCTTTTAGAGAACCATCTTGTATTTTTCACTTTTCAGCACTTGACGCTTACAAAAAAAAAGAATGTTCTTTTGGTTATGGGTAGAGTAGTCAAATGGTTATTGGATACTTGTCATGTTGAAATTCTACGAATTTTATGAGTCAATCTTAGTTGGAATTTGATCCATGGAAATTCAGCTTAGGTGTCTAAACTTTGTGGCTATTTTTCATTTTCTCATTAAAGATGAGCATGCTGAAGTGTAAAAATTTAATTTGTTCTTTTACTTTAGAATGAAAAAATCACGTTTCATTTTTCTTAACACTTAAGTTTATGAGGAACACTGTTTAGTTTGATGTAGGAGAAGATGGTGGCCTGAAAGTGGATGATCACATGCACACATCCCTTCCCGATGTCTATGCTGCTGGTGACATCTGTACTACATCCTGGCAGCTGAGCCCAGTCTGGCAGCAGGTAAGCTAGCATATGTGACCATGTGTTTTATCAGAGATTCTGCCTGAAAATAAAGCGGTTGTTACTAATATATCCAACTTCCGGTTTTCCAACATTTCTGCTTAAGTAGGAAGCTAGCACAGAGTTGTTATATATATTTAAAAAAAAACTAAAATTTTCCGTTTGGTAAGTTATTATTATAATGGTAGACTGGGATATCTTGGTAATTCTGTACCATCCAGTCAGGTAGCCACAGTATGTCACATGATCACTTGAAATGTGGTTAATGTGACCAAGGAACTGAATTTTTATTTTTACTTACTTTTTATTAGCTTTAAATAGCTATATGTGTCTAGTGTCCAATACCATGTTGGACAGCACAACTTTAGATTAAAAAAACAAAACTACTAAGATTGTAAATTATATAGATAAAGCATTCTATTCCTGCACGATCCTATTCTGTCCCTGTGGTAATTATTACTAAAAAATATTCCTGGCTGAGTGCAGTGGTTCACACCTGTAATCCTAGCACTTTGGGAGGGCAAGGCAGGTGGATCACCTGAGGTCAGGAATTCAAGACCAGCCTGACCAACATGATGAAACCACGTCTCTACTAAAAATACAAAAAATCAGCTGGGTGTGGTGGTACGCGCCTGTAATCCCAGCTACTCAGGTGGCTGAGGCAGAATTGCTTGAACCTGGGAGGTGGAGGTTGCAGTGAGCCAAGATCGTGCCACTGCACTCGAGCCTGAGTAACAAGAGCAAAACTCTGTCTCAAAAAAAAAAAAAAAAAAAAAAAAAATTCCTATAGTAAACACCTTTCCTGAGCCTTAACAAGTCCCAACTGGCTCTAGACTTTTCCCTATCCTCATAGCTTTACCTATCTCCTTCTAATGGTGTAACAAAAATACCAGAGGAAGATAAAGACAGTGACCAGAAGTGTGAGGAGGGGCAGAGACCTAGAGACCTAGGTAGATGTTTGAGATCAAGGAACCCATCAACATTTATCTTTGTTAAAGACGAGCTCCACAGTTAGGGACATTATTCATTCAGATTAACTATGCTGTATGTAGTAGTAGAAGAGCTATAAGTATTTCAAGAGGCAGCACCATCATTTTGTGTTCTTACAGACAGTAGAGACATCAATAATAAGAGAGTGGTTCCACCCTTGCTGTTTCTAACCTGCCTCATTCTGTGTCATTTCTGTGGCAAGAGTATCAAAAATTTTTAAGAGCTGGAGTTTGTGTGTGTGTTTTTTTTAACATTTTTAATTCTCTAGGGTAATTATATTTTAATGTGTTAGAATCTGAAAGAGAGAAAAAAAATCCGCAAATAAAAAGGTGTCCCTTGTTTTGAGTGCACCTTATAGACCCCATTTCTTAGCTTACACAAGCAATAAGGATACTAATTAGTTTATGCAGTCCAAGATGCAAACTTTCAGGCCACTCCTATTAGCTGTTCTCTAGTTGTTACTATGCAGTTTATTTTGATCCCTTGCCATAAACTGCCTTTCACTTCATCAAATCTATAATACCTTGTTTACAGAGGAGATTGAAAAAAAAAAACTACATCACTTCTGCTAGAAATGCTTAAAGCTTATGTCCATGATTATATTATTCCAGCAAACAAAAGACAGCATTAGGTACATATGCACATACAGAGAGGCAGAAGAAAACCAAGTGCTTATTATAGGCTAACCTATTTAATTTTCTCAATAGTTACAGAGTAGGTAGTATTATATTTATGTTTCAGGTAAATGAACTGAGGCTCAGAAAAGTTATACATGCAGATAAGTTGATATTCAAATCCACTGTGACTCCCAAGGTCAGTGTTCTTTTATACCAGGGAGTCTCAAAACTTTGTAGAAATTAAATAAAAATACAATAGAGGATAAATTAATCCTGTCATACAAAAGAATTTAAATGACTTCCCAGAATCAGTTGCTGAAACATATATGTTGTCTTGGGGTGAGGCACCAACAATCTGACCACTGAGGTTAACAGCATGGCAGACCTTAATGTGTGTATAAGAATGAAGGTTGCTGAAAAATAGAACAAGTTCTTCAGTGATAATTTGACCTCTCTATTAATGGTGATGACAAACTTTGAAAAAGGGACTGGTTAATTAAACATTTTTTCTCACCTGGTATAGCTTAATATAGTTTCATAGTATTTAATAGAAATGCTACTAAAACTGGTATGATTTGGTAGCATCTTTTAAATTTAGTGGCAGTAATTTAGATATAATTAATAAATACCAAAAATTAGTCTGATTAGTTGTCTATTGGTGATGGCTTCTGTGGCAAAGATGACAGACTGTCATTTAACTCCTTTAAGTGAATTTACAAGGTTAAGATAACATTTTTCAAATAATGATCATGAAAAAATGACATTGTAAAACATTTTTTCATTATTTCAGATGAGGCTGTGGACCCAGGCTAGGCAGATGGGATGGTACGCAGCAAAGTGCATGGCTGCAGAGAGTTCAGGAGACTCTGTAGACATGGATTTCAGCTTTGAACTGTTTGCTCATGTGACAAAATTTTTTAACTATAAGGTAAGATAGCATATTAATGCCTTTGCTGCTTGTTAGTCTTATGCCTATGATAGATCTAATTATCTCACTTAAATAAAAATATACTTGATTTTAATCATTTTACCAAAAAATGGCATTTTTCATTTCTTACAAACCAATACCTGGTATTGTTGCTAGTCTCAATCCCTCATCATCTGATAATTATCCACCTTACCACTATGCTATTTTAGTTAAGAGGGAAAAAAATTTATCTCCAGATTTGTTCGCTGTTGGTGCATTTTTAACTTTTACTTGTGATTCATCCTTTCTTTGTGAAGGGAACTAACAGCTATCGTACTCAAAAATAAACCAAGTGCTTTCCTGTATGTGTTATCTTATTCAGTCCTCTTTACAGTATTCTGATGAAGGTCGTTTGGGTTTTTTTTGTCGTTGTTAGTTTTTTTTTCTCCCTAATTTACAAAGAAGGAGAAACATATTCATAAGTCTCAGGGAAATTAAGTAGTTCGTGAAAGATCTAATTCAGTTCCTTGCTAAATCTTTAAACCATGACTCCAGGGTAATGTAGTCTACCTCCTACATATTTATATATTCGCTGTATAGTTTTCATGTTCCTATAGATTGGTAGTATCACCTCGCTATTCACTAGATATTTTTTGTGTTAAAAATATTAAACATTAATATTTGACTATATTCATAAGAATTTTTTAATGTCAGTGTAGATTGTGTGGTAATGTCATCGGTAGAATTAATGCATGCTATTCAAACATTTTATTTGGGACTCTCCCTAATAACATTTTTAGTTACAAAATTTTGTGGCATAATTTTTCTGCTGACTATTCTAACATGGCACAAAATACCCATTACATTTTCTTTTTGATACTCATGACAATAACCTTTTTATCCTTAAATATAGGTTGTACTGCTGGGAAAATACAACGCACAGGGCTTAGGTTCAGATCATGAATTAATGCTGAGATGTACCAAAGGGCAAGAATACATCAAAGTCGTCATGCAAAATGGACGAATGATGGGAGCTGTCTTAATCGGTGAAACTGATTTAGAAGAAACATTTGAAAACCTAATTTTAAACCAAATGAATCTTTCATCATATGGAGAAGATCTGCTAGATCCAAATATTGATATAGAAGATTATTTTGACTGAAAATAGAATTTCTTCAAGAATTGTATAATGTTCCAAATGACACACAAAAAAATCACAAGTCAATAAAATGAATGACTGCACTGAGTTAATGATGACCACACTGAAAATTACAGAAGTGATAATGATATTAATGGAAAAGTATAAGAACAAATTCTAAGTGAAATCAGTTCAAATTATTTATTTATAGATATATCTTTCCAATACAACACTGACTGCTTAGGAAAAAAGTCTTAAGTTGTTTCTGTGTTTTAAACATAAATACGTTTACTTGTGATTTAGCTTTGGAGCAAATTTAGCTAAGTTATCTATCTCCTTAGCCAAAATGTATACTAGTAGACGAGAACCATTCTTTGTGAAATGTCAAAATATGGGTATGATTTCTTGAACTTTAAAATAGGTTTTATTTTACTTAAATTGAGATATAGCAATATCTCATTTGCTAATATTTTATATTGATGACTTACTCCTTTTTTGTTTGAACTGTACTTCTGGTTTTATAACCTGAAATCATCTACATCAGGCTTGTCCAACTCATAGCCCACAGGCCTAATATAGCCCAGGACAGCTTTGAATGCAGCCCAACACAAATTTATAAACTTTCTTAAAACATGAGATTTTCTTGAAACTTTTTTTTTAAGCGCATCAGCTGTCATTAGTGTTAGCATATTTTATGTGCAGCCCAAGACAATTCTTCTTCCAGTATGGCCCAGGGAAGCCAAAAGATTGGACATCCCTAATCTACATATTCAACTTAAAAGCATCATTCACATTTAATGAGCCTGTGTCAGTATAATATTGCTTTCAAAAAGATAGTTATATAAAAAGAAAAAATACAGCTAATATATAAAGGCATAAAAAAAATAGGAACTTATTCTCAAATATTTTGCTTTTAAAGGGTTTTACATAAAATTTTCCCTTGTTTTATACTGGAAAATTATATAATTCATGATCTCTAATTTTCAAAAGTTCTCAAAAGTTTAAATCTTCAGAGATAAGCTCTGAAAATATAGATCCATATCTATAAAATATCAATGAAATGGTTTTTAAAATTAAGCTTTTGTCTAACTACAAAAATAATGGTGTATACATGCATAAACATCTTTAATTAGAAAATCTGGTAACATTCACTTCAGGCATCATCAATTTTTCTTTTCTTAGCTCCTGTATTCTTAGAGCCAGATTGCTGAAGCATGTTTGCAGGCTTCTTCTGGAAGTTACCTGAATTTTTTTCCTCCACCTTTTTATCACCTTGTTCAGATTGACAAGTTTGAGATGATTCAACCTACAAAAAAAATAAGCAAGCACTTTGGTAAAATAAAAATTCAGCTATTCAGTTTCTCATGAGATTAAAAATTTCAAAATATTCTTTATCAGTTGATTTTTTAAGTATCAAGGGGTCTAGTTTTTTTTACCTATAAATTTCCATTCGAATATGAGCTCTATTTTGAATAAAAGGGGCTACATTGTGAGAGAAGTTCTAAAGACCTCAAATATCCTTAGACACAATGGCACTTGACATGCTTTAGCAGACTTGATAGTATTTGGTTTATAACAGTGGTTTTTAACCAATGGAAGAGCAGAAACAGACTTCTCAACTATTACTAATCACAACCAATACCATAAGAGCAGGGTGCATAACAAAATTAGATACTAAAATGGAGTCCTCACATTCCAAGAGATGGGAAACGCCTAGTTTTCTCTCTTCCATACCCAGAAATCTAATCAGAAAACTGACTTTCCCTATGTTCAACTGGACCTAGGGGGATATGACAGAAAAGCATCCCATAGACTTCAATATATTTTTAAAAATATATAAAACTGAAAATTAATAGCCAGTTACCCTGAAAGAGTTCTGTGTGGACTTCATCACTTGCATAGTAATAGCATGTGCCTCATTGTTCAGAAGATTAGCTTTAGGTCCTATTTTCAAATATGAAATGGTAGCATAAGCTGTAAAACTGTAGTCTTCTCTGCAGAAAATAAAGGCCAACAATAAGAAAGCTTTTGAAGGAATCACAGAAAACAAATTTATAAAAGAAATAACTATATGTGCAATAATTTTTTAGTAACACATTGACTTGAAATAATAAAACCTATAAATGCAAATATAACCTGTAGAGAAAATATTTTAGTTTTGTTCTTTTTTGATTTATAGTGATTAAGGTTTGAGTTTTTCAGGTAAATTCTTTTCTATAGCATTTAAAAGTTCACACAAAATAACTGCAAAAGCATTTATTCTGTTCCAGTTAAAAAAGGAGCAGCCATAAAGACAACATGAAAGGTAATAAATGGGTTTATACATACTTAAGATACTGCTGTATTAGGAAGTGTGCAATAATTTTCTCCAGGTCTTCACGAGGAAGTATGGGAGCCACAACACCTGCTACTCTCAATTTTGCTGCACCCTTTCCCATCCAAGAATCAATCAGTTTCAGTGGAGTGAGTTTTTCATTCAGTTCCTCTGCCTGCTTCAGGATCTTGATTAGATCTCTGCAGTACTCTGTTACATTCTTTCTTTCAAATGCTATAATAAAACAAATGGTAAGAGGTAATTGGGATTTAGAAATGAGGGCAAGCATAGGCTATCTTAATTAGTTAAACTGGTTTAAAGCTAGTTATCAATGTGAGGCACCCTAAACATTGATTTTTAAATGTATTGTGAATTAAGACTAGGCTATTCCTCAAGTCTCTGTCACTAGACCAAGTTATGGTCTCTGTAAACATTGTGGGGTTTACAGTGATACTAAAAAAAAAAGCTGTTATCAGAAGCCCTGCCATATACTCTAGAAATCAGAAAGTGTCTGCCAGATGTAATTATTAAGTTACTAAGACGTGTGCTTTATAGGAGAGCCTGTCTATTCCAGTATAGGCTCCTGTGCACTCTGATTTAGCAACAAGAATGTCTTTAACAGATATCCCCAATTGTTAAGAGACCAGTACTCCGATTTATATCTTACACTTTTGTTGGTTTATAAGATAGTCTAATAAACTCAAAAATTTCTCTGTCTGCAAAGTTAAAAATGTAGTGGCCTCCACCTACCAAGGCATCAGAACTCCGTAAGGCCTTATATGAGGTACTGGCTAGTCCAGCTCTTCAAATACAACACACAGATGAATAAAAGTTAAAATACAGTGCTGAAATGATGCAGGCAAATCCCAAAACTGGGACTCAGCCCAGGAGGGTTCCCAGTTTCATGCAAGAAAGAATTTGAGAGCAAGCCAACAGAGTAAAGTGAAAGCAAAGCAAGTTTATTAGCAATAAAATACAGGAAATGACAGCTCCATAGCGCAGGGCTACCCCAAAGGCAGAGTGGCACTGTCGATTGCTTGCTAGCTATGTTTATAGATACTCCTTAGTTATACGCTAAATAAGAGGCAGATTATTCATGAATTTTCTAGAAAAGGGGTAGGGAGTTCCAAGAAACATGTAAGGTAACTTTCAGGCATTGTCATGGCATTTGTAAACTGTCATGGTGCCTGTGGAGTGTCTTACAGCATGCAAATGCATTATATTTTCTAGTTCTAACTGCTTTGGGCCAATTTCTTTGCTACGTCTTGTTTTGACCAGATCCTGTTTTGATCAGCAGGGTTGTGACCAATGCTCAGAAAACAAGTCCTGCTGATCTCCTACCTTTAAAAGAATTTTAAGTAAATCTCTTATGACTAGCCATTAACTGGATCAAAAATGATTCACTATTATCTCTATTTTGCACTACATTTTCTTCCGAATTAGTGACTATAACGTATTAGAGATTATCACATGGTTAGCCTTTTCTTATAGAATAGCATTTCTATTCGGAAGAATTCAAACATTTTCCTTCATTTCTTAAAAGTTTCACATCCTTGGTATAGTAATATAAAATGTGTGCATACACATATGACTTTTCCTTTTATTCACCTTTGTTTCAAAACTTTATGTTGATATGTTTAATTCTGGAAAATGTGATTCACACTTTAATCTTTTAAATCCATTGGGAAGTCTAATATTTCTCTCATGTCCTAGCTCTGTATACAGTTTTGTGCCATATCATGTTTTGGTCAGTGATGGACCATGTACATGACAGTGGTGCCAAGAGATTATAATACCATATTTTTACTGTACTTATTCTATGTTTAGATACACAAATACTTGGCATTGTGTTACAGTTCCCCGATAGCAGTGCAGTAGCACACGGTACAGACTGGTAGCCTAGGATCAATAGGCTACACTATATAATCCAGGAGACTATACCATTAGGTTTATGTAAGTACACTTCGATGTCTGCACAAAGACAAAATCACCTAAGGATGCATTTCCCCGTCACTAGGTAGTATATGACTATATTAGCCAACAAAGGTACACAAAACAAACTCACCAACGTCTTTACAGCAATTATCACACATTTTGTTACATGCTTCTGAGTTCCATACTTCATCAAAATGTTGAGCCATCAACACACGACGACATCTGCAAACACATTTAAAGATACAAATTACTAAAGGATATAATAAGGTTTTAAGAATCTCTATTTCAGATTACACAATTATATATAGTATTAGCTTCTTATAGCTGCCATAATATTACCATAAACTTAGTGGCTTAAACACAAATTCATTCTTACATTTCTGTAGTTTAGAAGTGTACTGTGGGTTTCACTGGATCAAAATCAAGGTGTCAAGTTCTTTTTACATCACATTCATCTGACCACTTCTGCCTCTTCCAAATTTAAGGACCCTTGTGATTACATTAGGCTCACTCTGATAATCCGAAATGATCTCCCTACTTTAAGATCAGCTAATGAACAGCCTTAATTTCATGTGCAACTCCAAATTCTTTTTGCCATGTGAGGTAATATACAGCTTAGGAATTAGGACATGAACATCTTTGTGTTCATGTCCTAATTACATCAATGTATTTAGTGAGAACTTAAAAGTGATGAAATGATGTGATAGACTTTCATATGTGCCCCCACATACGATTTTTCCCTGTATATTCTTGATAAACACTGTTTAAGAAATTGTCTGAGTTCCACTTTTAAATTCAAAGTTTTACAACTATTAGGAGAATATTCTTGACAGCAAAATAGTTTCTTATATTTTAAAGTAGCAATATTTGAATTGAAACCTTAAAATATGCTTCATGAGAATACACTGGGCTTTTAAAGACATTTTCATTTTCTCATTTCTTTTAACTAGATTATTGTAGCATCTATTGGAAAGAAACAACATTTCCATCACTGGCTGCTGTTTACCACCTCAACA